CGATGCATGGATGCCTGGCCATTCCTCCTGGGGTAATGACTCAAGCCCAAACCCCGGAGAGACAAGTCTGATGGATGCCTAGGAGATCAGAGCCAGGGCTGGTGTGATCCATCCCCAGAACCACACACCGTTTGGGATGGAACGGGGCATATTTCCTGTGTTCTGATGAGGGCTTTATCTTTACTGGGCCAGGAGGAGGACGAAAAGCTTGACTGATCTCTCTGATGGCTGCATTATTAAAACTTTCTCCTGCCATCCCGTCTCTCTGTCTACTGACCTCTTTTATTGGATGGTGAAGGCAGAGCCTCCTTGCTTAGGCTTATGATGCATTGCCTCGATTAGTATTCTGTTCAAAAAAAAACATATCTCCTGCCCGGCCCCTTTGGCAATGTGTTGAAAATACAGATGGGAAAAATACGACTCTTATCAGCCTAAATGTTCAGTTTAAAAAATAGCTCAAAGCCTTATCTAGCGGAAACTATCAGGCGTTATATACAGTGTGTTAGATCACAGGAAAAGAGAACCAAAAGTGGGGTGGTGGCTACAAAGGGGGTTTCTGTGTTTACCAAGGACACAGATAAGGTCCAAGTGCTAACGGTACCAAGCTGAAGGCAAGGATAGACCCCAGGCAGAACACACTCCCCTTCCTAATTCTCCTTGATGCTATTGTCCCATTTTCATGCGGGCTTGGCAGAATTATTATGTCTCTGAATGGTTTGGGGGTGCTTGCCACATGTATTTGTACAGACACAGCTTATGTATCATCTGCTCCCCAGGGAAGAGGACTTGAGAATAGGCGTGTTCTTTTTGCTTTCCACGCAACAGGAACATGCCTGTCTGCGGCTGACCCGTGGAGTTGGGCTTTCCCAATGAAAGCCAAAACTTAGAAATGTATGGATTTTTTTTTCTCCTCAGTCAGTTCAACTGAACTTCTGGTGACCCCAGAGAGAGGGGAAGAGAGTGGCATCATCATCACATCCAGGTCTAAGGACACCATGGTCTTCTAGGACAGGAATGAGGAAATGAAACCAAAGAGGCAGAACTCTTGAGGGTGGGGAGGTGTCAGAGCTCTGTTTAGCATCCTAACTGTGATGATGGGAGGGGCTGTGAAAACAGAGTCCCTCCCCCCCCCCTAGCTTTAAACCCACCTTCTCCTACCGGGTTTTTTTCATGGGTGGAGGGTACCTCCCCCAAATTAACATTTAACAACAACAACAAAAAAAAGAGGACACATTTTACACTTTCCCCAAGACCTTCATGGTTCTAAAAGAGTTATAGTTTTGTTTTGTTTTGTTTTTTGACATTTAAGTAGGCATTTTATTCCTCTTTCATATTTTTCTTTCCACTAGCTCTTTCTTTACAATTTCTTTTTTAATTTTATTTTTAAATTTAAATTAGAAACAAGGTTGCTTCACATGTCAGTTCCAGGTCCCTCTCCCTTTCCCTCCCCTCCTCCCATGCCCTCCCACCAACCCCTCCAATATTCCCTCATTTCCCCAGGGAGGGTGAGGCCCTCCATGGGGGTGTCCATAGTCTGTCATTTCATCCAGGGCAGAGCCTAGACTCTCCCCCGAGAGTCCAGAGTGAGAGTGTATCTCTCATTGTTGGATGGGAGTCCAAAGTCCATTTGTATACCCGGGATGAATACTGGTCTGCTACCCAAGGCTCAATAGACTACCTAGCCCTCCTCATTGACACCCACATTCAGGGGTCTTGATCAGTCCCATGCTTGATTCCCAGCCATCAGTCTGGGATTCAAGAGCTAACCCTTGTCAGGTCAGCTGTTTCTGGGGGTTAAACCAGCCCAGTCTTAACCCCTTTGCTCATCAGTCCTCCCTCTATAGTTTTTTTTTTTGTTTTTTGTTTTTTTTTTTACAGAATAGCTAATCATTCAGGTTATGTTAGGACTTAAGAAGCATGCACTCATCAAGAAAAGGAAATGGACACTTTTGGAAAAATCAAACACTGTTCTAGATTTAAAACAAGTTTGGGAGCCCAGTTACAGAAGAGAGGGAGAGAGAGGGGTAGCACACACACACACACACACACACACACACACACACACACAGACAAGGAAAGTAAAGAGAAGACGCAGAGGGCAGGAGGGAGATCTCGAAGAAGGAAAGGAAAGGAAAGTTGGCTTGCTACCAGGAGTTTAGGCAATGCAGAGTAAAAGAAGTAAGACTCACGTGAATCCCCGCCCAGGGCTGTAGGATTCTGAGGAAGCATGAAGTGACATGGCACTGGTTTGGGACACTGAGCTGGGGCCCCCAGACAGGAAGCATATTCTGTGGGAGATGGGTAAGGGGTGACTTCTGGCCTTTCCACTGTAGTTCCAGTTACAGCAAAGAAGCCCTGCAGTAAGTCCTTCAGAGGAAAAGAACATCGGAGCCTCTTTATAGAGTAGGTGCGCTTAAATTCCCACGTGGAGAATCAGAGCTCAGTATGCCTCTCCCGAGTTAGGGTAGGTCCGGCTTCTACACTAGTAACAAGACTGGGGAAGTAGTGCCGAGCCACTGCAGGTCTAGACCCAAGAGGACTGATCTCCGCAAATCCCTTCTTCCTGGAAGAGGAGTGTCTGAGGAAGACTGAGGGCAGCCTGCCGGTGCTAGAGAAAGCCTTGGAGACTTGGTGCAGAGGAAGACCCTGGGGTCACAGGGAGAGGGGAAGGGACCCGGCAGCTGGCCTCCCAACGATTGTAGACCCATCTCATGGCCACCACCTGCATGACCTTAGGGGGACCTGCAAAAGAGCTTGCAGATTAACTCTGTGAAGCCACACAGCTACGAACTATAACAAATCACCGCTGTCTTAAACAACCACCTTGAGGAGCAATTCGTTACACGATAGGCAACTGAGACAAAGTGGTATCTGAATGTTTGTCTAGCCATCCATTTGTCAATTCATCCATTTGACAGGTAGCCACTGAGAATCGGAACCACCTGGTTTCCTTACAGCATCAGAAACAGACGTCGTCTCAGACAAGAGGCCATAGCCATATGGGTGGCAACTGCAGGGGCAGAAATCTGTGGGAGGATCACAGAGTATCCAGCACCAAACAAAGAAAAATCACAATGTCTACCAGGCAATAAAAACAAATGTAAAGCAGCATCCAGAAAAGAAAAAAAAAACAGACACAGAGATAAAAGAGCAGCAGACACAGCTGAAAGGCAAGGACATTGAGGTGGATGGAATTGCATTCAACAACAAAGAGAGCTTGTGGGTTATAACAAGACCCAAAGCGAATTTCTGGAGACGATGACCACGCAGCAGACACATTGTGTAGAGAGATGCTGGCTAATTTCAGGACAGAGCAATAGGAAAGGTCCACCAAGAACCACTGGGAGGTGGCAAAGACTTGGACCAAAACAACGTAGAAAACAGTGGCTCTGGGCCAGGTGTTGGTGGCACATGCCTTTAATCCCAGCACTTGGCAGGTAGAGGCAGGCGGGTCTCTGTGAGTTTGAGATCATGATGGGGAAGTCCTGTGTATATGTCAACAAAGCACTGTTGGTCAATAGGGAAGCAAGATATGTGGGACTAGGAGTTGAGGAGGATTCTGGGAAAGAGAGACACAGGCAGATATCATGTAGCCACCATAGAAGTAAGAGGTCAGGACCCTTTTCTCCGGTAAGAGAAATACTTAGATTAACAATTATGGGTTAAATACTTGAGTAAGAGCTAGCCAGTAAGAAACAAGAAAATGGCCAACAGCTTCATGATTAATATAGTGTCCTGTGTGTTATTTGGGGACTGCGACTGTGGCAGAGCTCAGGCGCTGGCGGGGGGGGGGGGTTGGGTCGGGGGGTAGGGGGTGCAAAGTGGCTGGCAAGGAAGACTACACTCTACATGATCAACCTGGTCTACAAGAGCGAGTTCCAGGACAGCCTCCAAAGTCATAGAGAAACCCTGTCTCAGAAAAACAAGTAAAAGAAAAAAGAAAACAGTGGCTCTGTATGATGTAAAGTTTCCCAATGAAGGCAAGAAATTCACAACATATTTGAAGCATTGGTAGTTAACTTTCCCCCCAAATGTGATGAAAACTAGAAATTCACAAATGCAAGAAGCTCAGGGAACAATCAAGTCCAACAAGAAAGAGTGGTGATGATTATTTATGATTTATTAAAGCTTGCCTGGAGATTCAGATAGCAGAGTCGGCCGCAAGCCATAAAAGCCAGGTGGTGGTGGTCCACACCTTTAATCCCACCACTTGGGAGGTAGAGGTGGACAGATCTTTGTTAGTTCAAGGCCACGCCGAGCTACAAGAAATATATCTAGCCCTAAAGAGAAATGACTTACACAAAGATGATCTCAGCACTTGGGATCACATGCCTTTAATCCCGGGACTCATAAGAGCTATTTAAGACCAGAACAGGGTATCAGAGCAGGCATTCATTCTCCAGCCACATTGAGGACAGGAAGGCATTCTGAGATTGAGTCACTAGACATGTTGAGGAGAGCACGGCAGTCTGAGTGAATCTGAGGAGCAGTGAAGTTGGGAGCAGTCTGAGGATCACCTCCTTTGGTCTGAGCTGAGGTGGAGGTAAGAGATGTGGATGGATGTTTTGCTTCTCTGATCTTCAGCTTGAAGCTTGAACTCCAAGCCCAGTCTCTGGGTCATTTATGTATCATATGGTGTTGCAAGTAAGTAAGCAAACATGCTCGAGTATGTAGTCTACCAACCCACACTGTATACTGTGCCATGATCAAGTTGTTAAAGCAATGTTTTTTGTTTAATCATAAAACCAGTTGTATTATTCAGGGTTCTAGAGGAACAGAACAGATAGAATGAAATATGGGCTGGAGAGACGGGTCAGAGCTTAAGAGCACTGACTGCTCTTCCAAAAAGCCCTGGTTCCATTTCTAGGATGCATATTACAGTTCAGTCACTTGGAAAATCCAGTCCTAGGGGACAGATGACATTTTCTAGCATACGGTGTACAGATAATGCACACAGGCAAAGTACTCATCAATACAGAATGAAATATATTAGTGGAATTTATTAGATTTGCACACATGCACCGTGGCCAGTCTTCACATTACAGGGGCCTGGGAAGACCGGATGTCTCAGCAGGTCTGGTCTGCTGCTGCAGACCCGGAGGACACCTGCAGAATAACACTGTCCACCTCGGACAGCAGAAGAAGCCGGACCCAAGGACGCGGCACCAGAGACGATTTCACAGCGGGATGTGGAGAGCGGGTGAGCTTGCCAGAGCAACAAGGGCAAGCAGTCAAAAGCAGAGCTTCTCACAGCCAGAAGGTGCCAGCCGTGTTTAGGGTGCCTCTTCTCCCTTCAGATAACCTGACTGAGAAAACCCCATGGAGAGGCCCAGTGGCTTATCTAGGCAATTCCAGGTCTAGTCGAGCGGTCACTGGAGACATACCATCACACAAGATCTACCAGTTACCTTTCTGCTGCTTGGATAAAAAATGCTCAGAGGCAAGCAGCTGAGGAGGAAGCAGTTTCATTTTGGCTCTGAGTTTCAGAGGGACAGAGTTCTCAGCTTGGCACTGAGGAAACAGAGAGGGGGTCACATTTCACCCCCACGTGGAAGGCAGGGGAAATAGAACAGGACACAGTGTCCAGTCAGAAAACTCAAAGTTGGCTTCCCTCCTCCTGCCGGTGATGCAAGGGTGTGACCCCTACAGGTTCCATAACTTCACAAGGAGCACCACCAACTGGAGACCAAGGCTTCAAATACCCGGGCCTATGAGGGACGGTTCTCATTCAAACCCAGCGCCAACCTAAGGAGTGAACACGGAGGAACAAGTGTTGGAATGCAGATTCCTTGCTAAAAGTTCAGGAGCAAAGCCAGCCAGAGCACACTGGACCCACGTCTTCAGTGTCTCGGGAGCTCTGGGCAGTTAATTCTGTAGCCACCAAAAAAAACAAAACAAAACAAAACAGCTTTCAGAAATTAAGGTGAGAAGATAAATTGGCCCTTCACCTCACATCTTCTCCATTCTTAGTCTCCTGGAAGGGATGCATTGGTTCTAAGCCACACAGAAACGCAAGGGTCCTAGAATGATCAAAGCAACTGTGAAAAAGAAGAATAAAGATGAAAAGTTATTTCAGAACTCATAAAGGGAGTTATTACTGCCCATGCAAGCAACCCCAATTAGACACAGTGGGTCACAAGGTAGATGTAAAGGTAGCAGGGGGAAAATGTTAGAGAGAAAGGGGGATTTGATGGGAGTGGAAGAGGAGTCAGAGAGAATGGCATGGGTGAATATGATCAAAGTACTTTATCTGTGGCACTGAGAAGGAATAAATAAATAAAACGGAAATAGAGCATTGTTTTCTACTGACACATTACAGAACTACTCTACAATACCGGCCGTGAAATAACCGCTACCATTTATAAAACATACATACATGGTTTAAGAGGATACAAACTCCAAAAGACTGAAAAGGAAGCAATGGATAGCATCTTATGAAACCTGAAGTGTCTTTAAAACACTATTATAAAAACAAAGGTAAGGAACAGAGCACAGAAAAATGTCAGCAAAAAAAAAAAAGTGTGCTGCTCATATTGTTATGCCCAAATTCTGAATCCCAAAACCACCAAAAGACGTGATCCAGTGCAAAAGCAAAGAGTCTTTTATTAATGAGTTTACATGTATTAACTCGGTTCCTCTGACCATCTGCAACAGTGGGTGGAATCAGAAGGACCAGGAGGGACCACAGAGCAGGAAATTTATTGGGGCTGAGCAACGGAAGTGTCTGGGGTCCGCAATAGTCTCAGGATTGGTGCACTTCCGGGCTTGGGCAACCAGACCTGTGTTGATTGGTCAACCTATAGGTCCTCCCAGGGCAGTTGCTATGCTCTATACATCACTGTTATCATAAAGCACATCCAGAGCCTGCCAGCTAACTTCTGATTGGCTCCTTGCCACATGGAGGAGGGCAACTGACTGGGAGGACTGGGCAAGGTTAGGAAACTCAGCCCATTTTGCAGAGTCAGAGGCTTACCTCTTTCTGGGTCTTTTCTGCAGCCTGTCATGGCTGCCAAAGCAGGGGTCTGGGTGAGAGTCTGGTCCCTTCTATATAAAGAACACAACTCAGTAAGAAAACCAGCACAGTGCTTCCATCGGAGGAGACACGGGTAGCAAAAAGGTGTATGAAAAGTGCTCCTGCAGAACACAAATTAAAACCATACAGATACAACACTATACATTAATTACCATTCATAAAATTTTACAGAGCCCCCCCGAGAGCAAAGAAATCAACCAGAACTCACATGTGCGTAGTAGACCCATGATGTGGGGCCATCTGTAGGAACCCGTCTTTGTGGGGCTCCGGAAGGATCCAGCTGACTTTGCCCGTACCTGGGAGGGGGAGGGTGGATTGAGAAATGCTAAGGAAATGATAGAGACGCGGGATAGAGTCAGGAAGGCAATCCAAAGAATGCTGGATACCCCAAGTTTATTCTTCAGCATTCTAATACACCCCAACCAGGAAGGGGAAATGGCAAAAGACTTCTTTATCAAGATTCAAGGAACAAACAGACCTTCTTCCTTAATCCTCCAAACATTTAGTAACCACACCTTAGACTAAACCTCTCATTATCTGGCCTTGAGGGTTAAGAGTAACCACACCTTACACCAAGTCTCTTGATACTTTGATAAGACATCCTCGCCTAAGACCAAACTTCCTAGAGTAGCCGCGCCTGCGGCCTTTAGGTCTTATGATTTTAACCTTGGAAGAGTAAGGATGGTTTGAACTCTTTGACCTTAAGTCAAGATAAAGCACAGCCATTTTTATGGACCCCCGACACATGTGCTACTCTTGAGTACACAAAATACTACAACTACTTCGGGAAATAATTTGACAATTTATTCTAAAAAAATTTGGTGGCCGTGAGGCCCAGTGCTTCTATTTGCATGCATTAGTGCAAATAAGATGGAATCACATATTTACATAAAGGCATAAATAAATTTACGTCAGCTTTGCTTAAGACAACACAACTGCAAATAAATGTCAGAGCCAGGCCTGCTGGTACCTATAATCTTTGCAAGCTACTTGCAAAGCTGAGCAAGTTGTCCCTTGAGGCCACAAATCCAAGGCTAGCCTGAGCAACTCGGCAAGTCTGTGTCTCAGGAAAAAGAAAACAGAAGAGATGCTAAGAAACACCAAAGCATGGTGTATCTTCGCTAGGAATTCTGCCGGTAACCAGAAGGTTGACATAAACAAACACAAGGAATCTCCTAAGGGCTGAGAAAGCGAAAGAGACAAGAGCCCACACTGTAGGAGCCAACACAGACAAAATTCCACAGAATGTTCCGATTGGTACAACTTACCAAGTTGAAGCTGTGTCGAGTTCACCAGAATTTAACTTGGAATGCTCAGAGAGGGGATATATCTTGTGTAGGGGGAAAATACTAGTATACAAAGGATTGTTTTGGAGGCTGTCGATCCAGCCTGGCCTTGAACTCACAGAGATCTGCCTGCCTCTGCCTCCCGAGTGCTGGGATTAAAGGCGTGCGCCACCACCACCCGGCCAAAGGATCTAATTTTTAAACCATATAAGAGATGTGGTGCCCTTGCCTACAGACGATTTACAGGTGGCCATGGAACCCTGGGAGAAGATGCTTGGTGTCACAAGGGGGAAATCACAGTAAGGAGCCACTTTGTTCCCGACAGGACGGCAATAACCATTACAGAAAGAAGGGACAGTAGGGTGTGGGTGAAAGATACGCCCCGTTGGCTGGAATGTAAAACGCTCACTCACTGTGGAACCCAGCATGGCGGCTCCACAAGCGGCTAAATCTGGAATCCCCAAGTAAACAAAACAAAAACCCCTCAATTTCCAGGCATAGGTCAAGGGAATTGAAAGTAGGGGCTAAAAGAAAATGTGTGCACACATGCTCATGGTAGCATTATTCATGCCAGCTTAAAGACAGGAGCAACCAAACGCCCATGGACAAGTGAATGACTGGGCAAGGTGCACGTGCGATGGAAAATGCTCAGCACTGAATGCGTTGGCTTAACAGGCTTTGCTGCCAAGCCTGGTGACTTCAGCTCATTCCCAGACGAAGTAGGGGAAGGAGAGAGAGAACTGACCTCAGCAGCTTGCTCTCTCTCTCTCTCTCTCTCTCTCTCTCTCTCTCTCTCTCTCTCTCTCTCTCTCTCTCACACACACACACACACACACTAAATAAATGTAAAGAATTAAAGAAAGGAAAATCTAAGTCACGAAGAATCTGAAGGACATCATGCCCTGTGTGACGTCATAGGTAGGGGTACTTAGAGCTGGTAGGGCTCACAGAAAGTGAAGTGGGGGAAGGGGAGGAAATGAGCTTATTTAGTGGAGTTCTTGCATGGTGGAAAGCTCTGGAAATGGGTCAGGATGCTTACACAATCCTGAATATATTAAATGCTACTAGGGGCATTTTGAAAATGATTTAAATGGTCTGTTTTACATTATGTATTTTTTTACCACAATTACAAAGGGGGAAAGTGTAAGATATTCTCTGCAATGTCATGTGTAAAAAAAAAAGGCAGAAACAACTTAAGTACCTGCGAATTGAAGCTGTTAAAAGCTTATAGCACATTTAAAAATTGTACCCATTAAAAATAATTAGATTCTTCCCTTTGTAGGAAACGATCTCCAAAGCTTGTGTGTAAAACAAAACCAAGCACAATCATGCATGTTCCCAACTATGTAAACGAAGATGGAAGAGAGGCTGAAATCACACACATACACACACATACCACACACACACATATATCATACACACACCACATACCATGCATACCACAGACACACCACATACACACAGAGACACACCATACATACACACACCACATACACATCATGCATTACACACACACCACAAACATACACCACACACCACACACATCACACATACACCACACACACACACACACACACATCAAACATTACACACATATCACACATACACAGACATACCAGACACATACACCACACACACACAAACACACCACAAAGTCGCATACATATAGACTATTCTGGAAGGGTACATTAAGAATTAGTGCCAGGGCAGCAGAGGTGGTCCAGCAGTTGAAAGCCTGTACTGATCTTCCAGATGACCAGAGGTCAGGTCCCAGAACTCATGTCAAATGGCTCACAACTGCCTACAGCACAAGCCTCAGGGGAGTCTGACGCCTCTGGAGTCGGCAAACTCCTGCGCTGACACTCGTGTACACACACACACACACACACTGAAAACAATATAGAATTAAAAATGAATCAACACCAATGGTTGCCTCTGGGAGTGGGTAGAATATCTTTTTGTCCTCCGGAGTTTTACCGTGAGTGTGACTAGCCTTTTAGTTGTGTAAAGTGCACCAGAAGCCCGAGTGTCCGCACGAGCACAGCGTCAGGGGAACTTCACTCCCACACATGGCTGCCCTCTCCTCTGCTTCCCTCCCTGTCTGCCTCTCATGCCTGCTTGCCAAGCCCTAACATATTACACTTTTCATCACCGCACCCTGGAGCTCTTGGCAGTTCTGGCCAGTTTCCCGGTGCCTGTGTTGTCTCCTTTCTTCTCTGGTGCTTAGGCAGCAGGATTGTGAGAGCTGCTCCCTTTGCATTGCCGCTGTCCTGGCCTCAGCACCTGCATGCAGCAAGGGGGGCTCTGAAAAAAACCACAGAACCAAGCAAACTCCTCCCCCTCCTTCTCCTCCTCCTCCTCCTCCTCCTCCTGTTCTTTCTTCTCCTCCTCCTGTTCCTTCTCCTCCTCCTCCCCCTTCTCCTCCTGTTCCTTCTCCTCCTCCTCCCCCTCCTCCTCTGCCTTCTCCTCTTCCTCTTCCTCCTGTTCCTTCTCCTCCCCCTCCCCCTCCTCCTGTTCCTTCTCCTCCCCCTCCCCCTCCCCCTCTTCCTTCTCCTCCTCCTCCTCTTCCTCCTTCTCCTCCTGTTCCTTCTTCTCCTCCTCCTCCTGTTCCTTCTCCCCCTCCCCCTCCTCCCCCTTCCTCCTCCTATTACTACTTTCCCACCTTCTCCCCTTGTGCTCTGGTCTGTGGCAGACCCCCCCCAGGCTTTGCCTGTCTGTCCCTCCCGTCAGCCTATCCATGCAGTATCCCCCAGGCCATCATCACGTGCTGGTCCCAGGCGTCACACCTCTGGCTCCATCTCTAACACCTGATGGGAGCCTGTTCTTCCTTGTGCTGAGAGCTTGCCTGGCCCAAGCAGTCAGCTCCTTACTAGCAGGAAGTCCCTATGTCTGGTGGGCTCATCCCGGCTTTGTTGCTGTCCTCCCTCACCCTCCTCCAGCCCCTGCTGCCTCCCTGGTCCAAGCGCTATCTTGCAAGCCTGGTGACCTAAGGCAGGACCTCCAACTCCCCTTCTTCTCTGCTGTACCTTTTACACAGCCGCTGGATTTAAAAAAAAGAAAGGAAAAGAAAATTAAAGTCTTTCTCAGCCACAAGGTGTCAAACTAATCACTTCAAAATGGTTAGCTTTATGTTCTATGAATTTCACTTTAATATTAAAAAGTCAATTACTGAATAGGTTGTAACATCTCACCGGCTCCTTCACTAATTAATGAGTTAGATAAAATCTTGAACATGTGTTCATCAAGAAAGCCAAGCTGCTCTACCTTCCTGTCACCTGCTTTAAAACACTCTAAATGTTTCCCCTAGTCTCAGAAAAAGTCTCCAGCCCTCAGCATGGCACCTGCATCCTGGACTGCCCCCTCTACGGAGACAGAGATACTCAGTGACCATCCAAGGAGGCATTCGCTTAGACACAGGATCTTACACGGTGACTCTTAATAGTCAAGGAGCCGAGTGCTTGATGTAGCCTGCTGTAACTGGTTAGGTTAACTTTAATTGAAATACCGTATGTAAACTCCCTCTTGTTGTTGTTGTCCTTCTCTTTGGGGAGAAGATGGGGGCTTGTGTGGCTGAGGCTGGCCTTGAACTCCATCTCGCTGCCTCTGAGGAAGACCCTGCACATCCGCCTCCCTGCCTCCACCCTCCTGTGGCTGCCACTACCCGCCTGTGCACCTCCGACTCCAGTACCAGATGGATTATCTCACAGGCGCTGGACCTCCTCGCTCCAAGGTTGGTTCTGCTTCTCTTTGTTGACACAACCCGTTTAGACACTTCCCACCTCTTCTTGTCCCCTTCCTCGGATGGCCCTGTTCTGCTGGGCTGTGTCTGCCCTAGCCTGCACACCCCGTATCCGACTCCTCCCTCGCCGTCTTCAGGGAGCTCTGCAAGCCATTGCTGCTTCTACCCTTGCTTCCTCCCAGAAGACCCCACCCGTGCGTCTCACCCTGACCCGTGCGGCTCACTCTGACCCGTGCGGCTCACTCTGAAGCTGTGTCTTTGGAGAGGGCGTCTCGTGGGAACTGCTCTGCAGGCTGATCTCA